ACTCCCCTACCCTAGGAAAAGGGCTTTGACCATTCATTTTATCCATGCCCTTCATGATTTTATAAACCTCTGTAAGATCACCCGTCAGCCTCTGACGCTTCAAGGATAAAAGCCCCAGCCTATTCAGTCTCTCTGTACAACACAAACAAACACTCTCGTCCCGACAACATTCTTATAACTCTTTTCTGCACCCTCTCAAGTTTAACAACACCCTTCCTGTGGAATTTTATGCAGTATTCTAAAAGTGGCCTTACTAATGTCCTGTACTGCAGCAAGATGAAGTCCCAACTCCAATACTGTGTTCTGACCAACGAAGACAATCATGCCAAATACCTTCTTCACCACCCTGACGAACTGTGACTCCAGTTTCAAGGAACTATGCACCTAGGTCTCTTTGTTGACAACATTTCCACATGATGGGCCAAAGGGTCTCTTTCTGTGCTATAAAATCGGACTCTAGTATTCCAGGTATAGAGTTGCCAAAGCCCTATCCAATTGCTAAACAAAATATTCTGGACGCTCTAATTGCGAAATAAGAACTGAAAATACTAGAAAAGTTCAGTAGGCCAGACAGCAATGCAAGAGAAAAACATTCCAAATAAAAAAGTTCACAAATCTACTCCTCTTCTCCACTACCTGATCCACTGAATATTTCCAAAATGTCCTGCTTTATTGTCTACACAACAGCAGCAAGACTTCATTACTCTTATAATACATTCCCCAATCAATAAGGGCTACTATGGCATTTTCTTCTAAATTGCTTATTGCGTCAATTAACTTTGTGATTGCATACAAAAGGAGTCCCAAATCCCTTTGAGTATTAACCTTTTTTTTGTCAGTCTTCCATTTTTGAAAAACAACATTATATTTTTTCCTCAAAGTGGATAACTTCTACATTATTAATCCCTACATTATTTGCCTGCATCACTTTATTGCCCAATTACTTAACCTTTACATATCCTTCAACTGCTGTCTTACAGCCTCCTTTTAGTTTACTTTCAAACTGGGTGTTCCATCATTAGAAAATAGCAGAGATCCTTCAGTGGTAAACTACTATTTATAGTTTCCAAATGTAAAATGATTTGTTTAGTCATTCTTTTCACACCTCAATCCATTTGGCCATGCTACCTCTGATCCAATGTGCATTAATTTTGTAATAATCTTGTACAGCACTTTATGAAATTCCTTCCAAAATGTCAAATACTGCAGGTACTAGGCCTTGCTTTTCCTCCCTACTAGATACAGCCTCAGACAAAAACACTTTTGCAAGCACCATTTACTTTTACAAAAGGGTGATCTTTGCATAAATAATGCTCTTTGAAGTGCCTTGTCACCATTTTCAATTGGCTGTATCGGCAATTTTCTCCAATGACACCAAATGTACTTCACATACCCAGCTGTTCTTGTCACATTAAAGTGTCAATTGTCCATCAATTGTTTATTTATTCGCAGGTCAACTGGGGTTTTGCCAATGTTAAAGACGACTTCGGTGTGCCCTCATCCCCCTTCACCACCTTCTCATGCAATTAGAAAAAAGGTGTAATACTTGCCCTTTCACCTCATTCCTCCTCACTGTTTTAGGCCCCAAACACACCTTCCAAGGGAAGCAGCTTGTTACTTGTACTTCTTGCAATCTTGTCTACTGTATATGTTAGTCACAATACGTATGTTGCTGAGACAAAATGCAACTGCATAATTATTTTGCAGAACACCTTCACTGTCCGCAAGAACAAACCTGGTCCAGTGGCTTGCCATTTCAATAAATCATCTTGCTTCCATGCAAACATTTCCATGTTACAGTCCTAATAAAGCTCAAAACAAGGTGAATGAACACCATCTCATTTTCCACTTAGGAACTTTGGTGTCTAGTATTCAACATTGTGTTCTGAAGTTGTTGAACTTAATTTGTTCTCCATTTTGATTACAATGCCCTGACTGAGTGTCTTGTTAGCTTTGCTCGTTGTACTAACTATTTTCTCCTTTTCACACATATTATTAGCATGTATGTTACATCTCTATCTCTCCCTTAACATCATTAGCACTTCATTTATCCTTTGCTCTGGGCACCCTCACCATCTGTTCCACTTGGGGTAGAGAGTGAGAAAAATAACCTGGGCTGGTTCAACTGCACAGATAGTACCTCGTTATACACTGGTAGCCAGTAGTAGTTTAGTTAACAATTGCAAAGACTAAACATTGCAATTGGCAGAATGATTAATGCAAGAATATCAAGTTTTTAAAATCGTAAAAGAGCATGCTTTTAGATAATATTCTGCCACATGGCCCTTTGGTGTCTATAGAATACTAAGAGCGCAAAATTGCTTTCAACTGCAATTTGACTCTGACCTTTTTGCTTGACTCAAGGACAGTACCTGAATAAAACTGGTCAAAGTGTTTAAAGCACGGACAACATTTAGATCCAATCATGGGCCAGTAATGTGTGTTAAAAGTTGACAAAAATCGGAAATCCTAATTGCTTCGCAAGAAAATGAAGTCACAGGATTTCCTAGTTTTAAACAAGAAACTTTGCTGCACAAAATAAAGTAACTGTCAATATATCACATTTTTCATTTCACCATATTGAATTACAATAAATTCAGCCCTAGCTAGTACCAGAAAACTATTCCAAACGCTTGGAGACTAAGTTCTTGGGATGCTAGTTTTGTCAATGTAGCTTCAGTTTGTATAAATATACAGTTCACCATGAAAATTGTATTATATTTGTTATATGCTCCTCTAATTTTCTGAATGCATGAGAAAAGGCATTAAAAAGGGAGGCAGTATAAACTTCTCAATTTCAAATCTGGCATTCTTCTATCTGTCCTGATGCATGAAAAATGAAAAGCATTTTTGTCTTCAGTAATTCTAGCCCCAAAATAAACTCAAAATAAGGCCTTTGACGTTCAATGATGTTCCCATAAACTGCTGCATCCCTACCCAATATGTACAAGTACAGCTACAACACTGACATCTGTCAGATAATGTGAAATATTACCCAGATACGTCCTATAGATGAAAGCAGGGAAAATCCAACCCGGCCAATTACTGCTCCCGTCTAGTCTCAATCATCAGTAAATAACTGAAAGTGTCATTAATATTGCTATCAAGCAGCACTTGTTCAGCAGTAACCTACTTGTTGACACTCAGTTCGGGTTCTGCCAGTGACACTCAGTTCCAGACATCATTACAGCTTTAGTTCAAACAAACAAAAACTGAATTCCAGAGATTAGGTGAGAGTGACTGCCTTTGTCATCAAAGCTACATTTGACCAAGTGTGCAACAAGGAGCCTCAGCAAAAACCGTGTCAGAGGGAATCAGCAGGGCAACTCTCTAATGGTTGGAGTCATGCCTACCTGAACTGAAAACGGCACTGGTTGTTGGAGGTCAATCATCTCAGCTCCAGGAAATCTCTGCAGGAGTTCTTCAGGATAATGCTACCCTAGGTTCAACTATCTTCAGCTGTTTCTTTAAATGACCTTCCATCCTTCATAAGGCCAGAAGTGGGAATGTTCACTGATTGCACAAATGTTCAATACCATTTAAAACTCATCAGATACTAAAGCAGTTCATGTTCAAATGCAGCATTACCCAGGTTTGGCTGATAAGTGGCAAGTAACATTTGGACCACACATATGGCAGACAGTCACCATCTCCAGTTGACATTCAATGGTGTCCCATGATCAATACCTGGGAGTTACCATTAGTCAGAAATTGAACAGGATTAGCCATATAAACTGTGACAAGGACAACAGGTTAGAGGCTAGGAATACAGTAAGTAACTCACTTTCTGACTTCCTAAAGCCTGTAAGAGTCAGAGTCATATAGTACATAAACAACTTCAGCCCAAATCATCCATGCTGACCACATTTCCCAAACTGAACTAGTCTTATTTTCCCACATTTAGTTCATACCCCTCTAAACCTTTCCCATCCATGTGCCTGTCCAAATGCCTTTTAAATGTTTAACTGTACCCACATCGACCACTTCCTCTGGCAACTCATTCCATATACACACACTACCCCTTGTCTGAAAAGGTTGCCCTTCTGGTCCCTTTTAAATCTTTCCCTTCTCACCTTAAACCTATGCCATATAGTTTTGGGCTCCCCTACACAGCGGAAAAGACATGGGCTATTCAACCGGATCAATGCCTCATGATTTTATAAGCCTCGATAAAAGGTCACCCCTCAGCCTCCTACACTCGAAGAAAAAAAAAAGTCCCAGCCTATCCATATAACTCAGACCTTCCAGTCTCAGTAACATTCTTGTAAATCTTTTATGCACCCTTTCTAGTTTAATAGTCAGAAGTGTGATGGAATACTTGCCACTTCTGGATGACTGCAGCTTCAACAACACTTAAGTTTGACACTGTCCAGGATAAAACAGCCCCCTTGATTTACAATACATCCACATAGTCTGATAGGACTAAGGTGACATGACTTGTCCATTTAAAATATAAGAAGCAAAGTAGCAGAGATACTGGAAATCTACAATACTCATACTGGACTTACTTAGCTAAGCTGGTAGTAACTATGGTGAGAGATACTGTGATCATTTTTCCAAGTCAGTGAGAATGCAGATCTAAAACATTAACTCCATTTCTCCCTCCACAGGTAGTGTCAGATCTGCTGAGTAGTTCCAACATTTTATATGGGTATTTTTGTTATGACAGTTTTACATCTCTAGCTTTTATGCAACATATTTCCACAAAATTATTGCACATTACTACTCAAGTAATAATACTCAATAATTTTTGTAAATATGTTGCTTAGTTAAAGCACTTTTCAACATTCTATTACTTCTCAGTTGTTGGATGAAAGTAGCACTTCTGCTATCCTACTATTTTAGGTGAGTGGATTGAGCAGACAAATGTTTTACACTCTGACACAGGTGTACACTGTATGTTATCGTAGTCAGCGATGCAAACATGTTTACAACTTGCACAAATTAAAATTCCAATATAGTAACTAACAAAATAAAACAAACATTAGATCACAGCATACCTCAAAGTCAATTCCACCAACAAAAATTGTGTTCGGCATGATTCTTCCACTTGGCAATACATATCTGCGATTCACTGTGGGTGCTGCAGACGACTGACCCTCCAGTTCCTGACTGACATCACTATCTTGTGCTTCAATGATTCTTCCAGACTGCAAATAGGGGAAAGCTGTTTAGATACTCATAAGAATCATCAACTCATGATTGGTTTTAATTTTCACCTCAGTGGCCTTTTAGAATCTACTGGGAAACAGGCTGCTGCCAAAGGAAACATTTTCACTACCATTGGCATAATTAAAGGAAGTAAAAGAAAGTAAAATTCTGCTTACCAACATTCTGCTGGTAAAAAAAGCTTTAACAGCCTTACCCATTTACTTATTTGCCCATAATGCAAACTTACAATAATTCAACACCAGATAGCACAAAATTCAGTCATTAAGTGAACATCAAAGTGTCAGAGAGACAATGGTCCTCTGTGCAAGATCAGGAGCTTCACAGATATGTGTAAAATTAGTCAGGACGATGCCCCAGGAAAGGAGCCCTATCATCCCACAAGCGGGCAAGATAAACTAAGCACAATGGGAAAAATGAAGATATGGAGCTCCAAATAGTAGACAAAGATAATCGTCAGTTGAACCAAGTCAAAAGCTTGGACCAGTGACCCTTAACTTGCCAACAAAGAATTACGACATTTCACAGTCCACTAGCCCATTGATGGCCAAATACATCCAAGATTATGCAGAGATTGTAGGAACTGCAGATGCTGGAGAATCTGAGATAACAAGGTTTTAGAGCTGGATGAACACAGCAGGCCAGGCAGCATCAGAGAAGCTGGAAAGCTGACGTTTCGGGCCTAGACCCTTATGCAGTCATTTTTATTGGTCTTTGATATTTTCCTGGTGAATACCACCTTGAAGTAGATGAGAGAGTGAGAGACCAATGTAGCATTTGCTGAAGACAGTTCCAGCTACAACCAAGTCCAACCTTAAAGGCTGAAGAGCGAGGAAAGAAAAGGAATAATCATGAAAGTGACATCCCCTACAAACTAAATCAGCTGCACAATTGCAATGGGGAAAAAAAAAACTGGAAAACAGTGCATAGATGGAAAGGAACTCAATAAAGCTCTGAAGACTCTCTCTACATGCAAATCAATGAGGACAGTTTACCATAACTTTCCAAGGCAAAGGTCTTTACTACTATTGATGGGAATAATGGTTATTAGCAAGCGAAGCTGATGATAGCTTTGGTTTTTAAAATCAAATTATACTCTGGATGCCATTCAGGAGTTACAGGTAGCTGCACATGATGTTTTGCGTTTCCACCGCCCCAGACAACTGTCAATGCAGACAGTGTAAGACATACTTAATGATCACACTGGAATGAAAGCTATTTTGGATGATCTATGGATGTGGAGACACAATGGAAGAAGCTACTATATGCCTAATCAGAATCTAGTGTAATTGCTGGAGTACTCACCAGAAAAGCCTGGGGAGATGGTAAGTGGTGGTAATGTGATTTGGACTAGTAATCCAGCACCTCAGGCTAAATGCCTGGGGGAGTTGGGTTCAATTCTAGCATGACAAATGTTGCAATGTGAATTTAATAAAAATTCTGCAATTAAAAGCTAAAAGTTAACAGCCAAGATTAAAAGTCTGTGACCATGTAACCATTGTCAATTGGCATAAATAAAAACTACCTACCAGACGCAAGTCAGAAGTGAGAGTGAATACTCTCCTCTTGTCTGGGTGACTGCAGCTCCAACAATACGCGAGAAGCCTGACACCATCCAGGATAAGGCAGCTGGCTTTATTAGTGCCATATCAAAAATAATTCACTCCACCACCACCAACCCTCAGTTGCAGCGGTGTACTAACTACAAGATCCATTGCAGCAACTCACTAAGGTTCCTTTGACAACACCTTCCAAACCACAGCCTCTACCATCTGAAAGTAAAACAAAACAACCAAAAATGTGGGAATCCCTCCATCTGCAAGTTCCCTTCCAAATCAAACAAATTACTGACAAAACTCAGATCTGGCAGCACCTGTGGGCAGAAAGCAAAGTTAACATTTCAAGTCCAGTGATCCAGACTCTAACCATTAACTTGGTTTTCTCCCCACAGATGCTGCCAGACCAGCTGAGTTTCACCAGCAATCTGTTTTTGATTTAGATCTCCAATGTTCACAGTTCTTTGATTTAGTGAAGAATTTCTGCACGGCACTTACATTTAGTGAGGGAGAAAATAAAGGTGTATTTCCTGACATTCCAGAAAATTACAAGACAATGCTTCTTGACTTCTTGAAAATATGTGCTTGACTTGAAAACGTATTGCCACTCCTTCACTGTCACTGGGACAAAACTTTAGAACTCTGAACTATTGCAAACCATAGACAGCTCACCACCTTCTCCAGGGCAAATAGCAAGCAGCAATAAATGCTAACCTAGCCGAGAATGCACAATTCCCTTGGAATGAATAAAGTAAAAACTTCACGCTTTCAGCAGTTATCAATTGCACTCTGATGTCCCCATCAAAAACAGTACCTATTCCAAAGGCAGATTCATGACCATCTATGAAATCTGCCAGAATTACAATTATTTTTAGCTTGAATGGCCAGAAATCCACAAAGCTGCCGTATAGGTAGCTTAATTACAGAGACTGCCGACTGTTTTAAAACACCTGAAGATGGGAACAGAGAGTCTAAATGGTTGTTTCCAAATTCCCAACTAGAGGAAATCTGCCAAATGGCAGAAATTTCTTATCTCTGAGAAAAGCAGAGAATTTATGCTAAAACTTTATAAAGCTCCAATTAGTCCACAATACTGTAGCCATCACGTTTTAGGGAGGATGTGAAGTTTGTTGAGAAAACAAGAGATTTACCAGAATGGGTCTGGGAATGAAATATTTTAGTTACAAGGTTATGTTGGAAAAACTAGTATTGTTCTCCTTGGAACACAGGAGATTTGATAGAAATTTACAAGATTATGACAGGTTAGGATAAGTAACAAAAGAAAAAGAACCCATTTTCCCTGCTGGCACAATGGATAAGGGATACTTCAGCAACAAGCAGCAATGCAGATAAGAATACTTTTTAAAGACGTGATGTGATCAGTGATAGCAACTTCAGTGGTAATGGTTTGTATGGTGATCACTGGCCTAGAAGCTGGACAGCAATGAAAATTTCTTCAAATTTTCTGGGATCTGTAATTGTAAAAATATTTTTTAAAAAAAACTAGAGTTTGCATCAACTATAATGAAATCAGTCGTAATTTTCTAGGATTATATGGCTTATGTGGTCTTGCAACTCTTGATCTGGAAGCAGTACCAACAGGTAGAGGGTGCACTGTAGCAATAAAAAGTAAACTACAACAGGGTAAGAGAGGAGGGTGATTTAAGGAGTTGGGTATAATATAATACAGGTAGATCTGCTATAACGTGTGTTTCATTAAAGCAAATTGGCTGTGACACGAATGATGAATACTGGACGCTGTTTGATAATGCAAACTTTCTGCTGTACAGGTATAGCAATCTACTTATAATGCTGTTTTCTATTGCTCGAGGTCACACAAGAACGCAACCATCGCATCATAGCATAACTGCCTGTACGTACAGAAACGTGAAGACTGGTTTAGGATAGGAATTGTGAATTGGACAATTCTAAAACTATGCTTCAGATTTGACACAGCAGACCAGGTTGTTTAACAGGGTTTGTAAAAGCAATCAGCTAAAAAGGGGTCTCTTGGCAATCTGTGCCATCAAGATTGTTGCGAACCTACCCCAGTTCTGCAGTGTTGACTGGGCAATGGATATGAAGAATAGGGGAGTGGAGCTTCTGTTTCATGCGATTCAAGGACCTAATCAATTCTTGAGAAAAGAGATCTAATTTACCAGAGGCAGAGTTAGAAAGGCAGATTACCTGTAGTGTCATACTTGTACAAAGAGGGCTCCTAATACTTGTATTCACATGAGATTGTTTGCTGTATTTGCTACTCAGATTTTATGGTTTGTACTGACCACATTTTACCTTTTAATTGATGCTTAATTTAAATGTACTCTGATTATGTTAAAGTAGAAGTTGTAAAAAGTTAGAAGTTGTCAGTAATTTCATTGTTTAGGCGCCGTTTGGCAATTTTTTTTATTTTAGTTTACAGCTCCCTCATGTGGATCATAACAAAACTGGGGGCCAAGTTTGGATCCAGGGAATTCAAAACAAGTTCACGCAAACTTTCCAATTTTTAAACAAACAAGATTTCAAGTTTACATGTGCTGGGAAATCAACATGGGTAGCTTTAGGTTCAAGCCTTTACAGAGAGAAATTGGATTACCACAGACTTGAAACAGTTTTGAAAAGGTGATTACGGGCTGTGGGAATGGAATTAATGCGAGATTAGGAACTAAAATGAATGGGATTGTTGAAAAACTGGCTGGATATTTGAGACTCAAGAAAGGAGATCATGAGTCCATGCACGTGAAGAAAAGCTAACGCTGTGAAAAAACTCAAAATGAAGCAAGAGTTCTGACTGAACAAACTGAAGTTGATGAGAAGTGTGATTGAAACCACACAAGTCTGATTTGATGAAGAATTCAAGCTTAGAACTTACATATAAAGGAGAAAATAAAGATCAATTTCCTGACATCTGACAAAATTATAAAGGTTACGTTTAGTCAAAGCGTTTAGATATGAAAGGCATCTAGCAGATAATTTGTGTGATTTCAAGGAAGTAGAGACTACTATTTTCAACACTTGAGTTGTTACACAGAGACAGAAATTTAGAACCTTGAGAAAAGGAACAGGCAGACTTCTGTAGAATTTGTCACACGAAAGGAAACAGCATTCAGTAGGTTATGCATGTGAAATGGAACATTAATAAACTTGAGATGTTACAGGAGGAATTCAAAAGTAGTGTCCCTCCTCATTCTCACGTGGAAAATCTCAAATTTCACAAAATAAGGGAAACCTTCACAACGGCAGATGATTTATTACAGCCCACTTTGGAACATTCAAGAGAAACTGTAATGAGAGGGAGGTCAATGAAGAAGCAGTCAGACCATAATACTTAGGAACAGAAGTACGTCATTAGGGCCACAGTCTGCTCCAGCAGTCATAAAAACATGGCAAACATGATAATCAACTCCAGTTTATCGGCCCATTTC